CGGTGGTGCAATCTTGGCTCACTGCAACCTCCACCTCCCGGGTTCAAGCAATTCTCCTGCCTCAGCCTCCCAAGTAGCTGGGACTACAGGCCAAGCCATCAAGCCCAGCCATTTTTTGTATTTTTAGTAGAGATGGGGTTTCACCATGTTGGCCAGGATAGTCTCGATCTCTTGACCTCATGATCTGCCCACCTCGGCCTCCCAGTGTGCTGGGATTACAGGCGTGAGCCACCGCGTCCGGCCTATTAAGTTCTTATGATGCATCATTCCAAGTGCTTTCCATGTATTGATTCATTGCAACTTTACAAACTACCAAGGAGACAAGTGCTATTCTTATTATTCCATCATACAGGTGAAGCAATGGAAGCCCAGAGAGGTTAAGTGATGTGCCCAAGGCCACGCAGCTAATAGGAGCCTGCTGCAAGATTTGAACCCTGGCCGCATGGCTCTCAAGCCTGCCTGATTCCACACCACAGTGACAGGTGAACCCAGGGATATAGTGTTGGTCTTCAGTAGGTTAGTGGTAGAATGAGGCTAATGTCACAGAGGGCTGAACATCTCCTCATTCACTAAAGGTTTGTCAGCCTTTTCAGGACATGTTTGTGTGCTCTTAAAGCTTTCTTCTCGTTTTTTTTTTTTTGCTAAGCCCAACCACACAGTAATAGAATTGGGTGGCAGGTGACAAATTTAGTTACTGCCCTTCAAAACTCCATGACCTAATTTTCCTTGTAGGTCACTAATCCCCTGGTGTCATTATTTAACAAGTTTGTTTTCATCATGGGAAGCTCTTCCCCAAAACCAGCCCAGATATGTGGCTTGCAGTCTGTTTTTGCCCAGGGCTCATGACGAGCAGACAGAACCAAGACTGCGGTGAAAAGGCAGTGTGGGGAACCAGGAGCAGGTGCCGTGCACCTTCCAGAGAAGGAGCCTGATGGCCCCTGTCTCCAGCTAACTACTCACCCAACAAGAGCTTCCGAAGGCTTCCTGTGGGCAGGTGCTGTGTAAAGCATGGGAAAAACATTTACACTGACATTCTGCCACCTTACTGCAAAGAAACAGAAGTCCTCTACGGACTTGAAATGATTTCCAACAGAGGACGGGTTTTCAGTCCAGTGGCATTCTGTGTTTGTGGTGATAACTTTGAAGAAAATTGAAGAACACTTGAGAAACTTGGAACCACAGGAGTGTTAAGATGCATTTTTGGTTTATTCGTTCATGCAATGTTACTCCACCTATTTCCCCAAAAGCTTTGCTACAGGTTTCTGGCCAGTATCACTGACAGCAGACATTGGAGGGTTTGTTTTCACATTGAGCTCCAGATTGGAACTTCGAGGCAGGGAGAAGGGACTGCTCCTCTCTCCCCAACCCCTCCCCATCCAGGCCATGCACCATCTGGCCACACAGTGATGGGAGGGCCAGCTCTGGAGCCAGGCAGCCCAGATTGGGAGCCCAGCCCTGCTGCTTGCCAGCTGGGTGACCGTTGCCTCCTCAGTGCCTCGCCTTTTCTCACAGGTGAAGGGGGGCTGACGCTGATTTCTATTTGGTGGGCCCTTTGTAGTTCTGGATGAGCCCATGCCAGTGCAGTAAGATTTGGGTGTGAGTGTTTTCTGTTTCACTGCTGATGCCATCATCGACATCACTGTCCTCTTCTAGTCCCCTGAGTCCCCCCTCTACCTCCTCATACTTTATGCTCCAGCGACGTTGCTTGCCACACCTCCAAATGCCTCATGGACACTCACCCTCCCATCTCTGCAAGGGCCCCCTCCCCCTCCTTCTCCTTCTCCTTCTCCTTCTCCTTCTCCTTCTCCTTCTCCTTCTCCTTCTCCTTCTCCTTCTCTGATGGAGTCTCACGCTGTCACCCAGGCCGGAATGCAGATGCATGATCTTGGCTCACTACAACCTCCACCTCCTGGGTTCAAGCAATTCTCCTGCCTCAGCCCCCTGTGTAGCTGAGACTACAGGCACGCAGCACAATGCCCAGCTAATGTTTACATTTTTACTAGAGACGGGGTTTCCCCATGTTAGCCAACTAGTCTTAGACTCCTGACCTCAAGTGATCTGCCTGTCTCTGCCCCTCAAAGGGCTGGGATTACAGGCATGAGCCACCACACTCGGCCTGCCTAGAATATCTTCTACCTGCTGCTGATAAGGTAGATCAAAATAAAAAATTAAAGGTAATTCTCCGAGGAACGACCAATGCTTTGTTTTTGTTACTAGATAAGAAGTCATTTAAAATGAAATTTACCAGTCTGAAAAAACAGTTTAAGGTCAATGACAATAGCTATCATTTTTTGAATACCTCCCTATTTTTGATTCTAGGCACTATAATAAATACTTCATATGCATGATGTCATTGAATTGTCCCAACAAGCCTGAGAGGTAAATAGTGTTGTCTCTTCAATCTTTTAGATAAAATAAATTAATGTAATCATGGAGGCAGGAAAGAAGCCATGGGGATAACAGAAGGGAAAGAAAAATACAATCGGCTGGAATAAAATGAGTAAGAGCAGTTTTCCTTCTGAGTAATGGCTGCTTTCTCCTTTTTTCCGTGAGCGGCTCTGATGCGCCAGGCACACACTCAGCTCTGCTGCCTCAATTCTCCCCCTCACGGTAGCAGGCAGACAGCCCCATTTCACAGGTGAGAGTTACGTACAGGCAGACTAAGTACTTGGCCAACACCACACCGAACTATAAAGGCGTAGGGCTGGGACTTGAACTCAGAGCTGCCAGATCCCAAAGCTCATAAGTCAAGTCAGTTTTCTCTGGGAAGACAGAGGGGAGTGCTGCTCTGGAAATGACGGATGAGGGTCTTTGGGACCAAGCCTGTAGGATGTGCAACCAGAAAAGCTGTGGGTAAATGGAACAGAACATTTGTCTGAAGCCATCTGAGAGCTACCAAGGCTGTGAGGACTTGTGGGACCAAAATTTCCTCCAGCAAAGTGAGCAGGGCACTTGGGGGACGTATTTCCCCTTGAGGGGAAGGCAGGGTCTGTGCAGAAAAGAGCCAGCTGAGGGGGTGAAAAGCTAAGGAGAGCACTGAGCAGCCTCTTGGAGCCAACAGGGGAAAGGGCTCTGAAATACTCTACAGGCTTTTATGCGCTAGGAGTGAGCGTGAACAGACCTGCTGAGCACTGGAATTCCTCATCGGCTCAGCCCTGGTGACCTGCCCTGGTCAGAACAAAGGAAATCCTCTGTGATGGAGACATTGTCAGGCCTCAGATTATGTCATCAAGGTTTCATACATGATCTCCAGCACACACTAAAAGTCACCAGACCTAGGACGTGCGATCTGACCAGAAACAAACATTAAAATCAGATAACAGAAGGAGACTGAGGGTGAAACGGGGCGGGGGTGCTGCTGGGGAGTTGGTTGTGTTCTGTTTCTTGACCTGGCGGTGTCCTTCTGAGTATATAATGCCCGGATAATTTGGTAAGCTCTAAGCGTGTTATACTTTCAATAACCAAGTTCATTTAGGAAATAAGGTGACAGGTGCCTTCTCACCTTCCGAGAATCCAGTTGGGCTGTCTGTGCTGGCCACTCAGGCTCGGGAACAGGCCAGGACTCTGAAGACAATGGGCTTTGGTGGACACTGTCCATTTCAGGATTCAAGAGGTATGTCTGAGCTGGAAGGGAAAATTCTCAGTCAAGCCTCCGCCCAGGATCCTAGGTGAAAAGTCTACAAGACTCTGGTCTCTGTCATAACCTTCTTCACCCTCTAGCCGTTCCCAGATCATTCCCAGACCCCACTCCCCGGGGCAGAGGCCCCGTCAGATGCCTTTGAGCTCTCCAGGCCCCTCATCCACACGCCTCTGATGGTGCTGTCATGATCTTGGGGCATCCCAGAAAACTACCTGCCTGCCTGACCTTCCCCTACCTGGCTGCAAGCTCATTCCACGCAGGGACTGCCACCTTGGCAAGCCGGCTTATCTCCATAAGCCCAGCAACCCCTATGTGAGATCTGGCACGTGGCGGCCCTCCAGAAATATCCAGTGAAAAATAACCCAATCGGTCTAGTACATTTCCTTCTTTGAAAGGAGACAAAGCTGAGCCAGAGAGGGGAGGGCCCTTGCCTGGGGCCACAGGTAGAAAATGAGTGGCAGCAGCAGTGCAGCCAGGATCTGCGCCTCTCCAACTGCGAGGACAGGCGCCAAGTCAGGCTGTAGGGAGAGAAGGTGAAGGTAGAGCAGCACAGGCCATCCTGAGGCATCAAGGGCTGAGAACAGCTCTCTCTGCTCCTGTGCTGACATCCTGCTCTGTGCCAGAGGCCAGACGTTCCAGAGGAAGGTCATATTATCCTTCTCTTAAAAGCATGTATGGCTCAGAGAGGTTAATGAATGCATCTAAGACCACACAGCTGGCAAGAATAGAATCTAGTAATAAGAACCACCAGATGAACAGATCTCAATAGCACCTTGTCGGTCTTAAAGGCAACACCCTCCAGACTTCCTTCACTTTCTTACGGAGCACCTGACCTGAACACAACACTAAACAAATCCTTAGGAGTCCCGTCACACCCCCATGCTGAGGGTACTTAGCTGTGCTTAAAAAAGGCCCAGTCAAATACCACCTGTTCCCCCAAAACTATTGAAATAAAAATAAAAGTAATACAAGGCCCAGGAAAACTCTGTCTGGTCAGGTAGTGGCTTAATTTTCTTTTTAATAATGAAAATAGGCCTGGCACGGTGGCTCACACCCGTAATCCCAGCACTTTGGGAGGCCGAGGCTGGCGGATCACTTGAGGTCAGGAGTTCAAGACCAACCTGGCCAACATGGAGTAATCCCATCCCTACAAAAATACAAAACTTAGCTGGGCGTGATGGTGGGTGCCTGCAATCCCAGCTACTTGGGAAGCTGACGTGGGAGAATTGCTTGAACCCAGGAGGCAGAAGCTGCAGTGAGCCAAGATCATGCCATTGCACTCCAGCCTGGGAGACAGAGTATATATAAATATAAATAAATAAATATAAATAAATAAAATAATATATAAATAAAAATAAATATAAATAAAAAATAACAGAGCAAAAAAAAAAGCACTCTCCATCTCTCTGGTAACCACGGCTGGTATTTTAGTTGCTGTTCTAGCCTAAATTGCAAATCGGACACAGACGTGCACGTGGAATTATACAGTTATGATCATATGAAACACTCCATATCCTAACAGTTTTAAACTTAGCAGAACATGGTAATTTCCATGCTGTTGCACGGCGTTTGTCAGGACGATTTTAATGACTATGTTGTATTTCACTGATTGTATGGGTTCATTAACAATATTGAGGGTTTCCCCCAATGTTTCACTATTGTAAAGGCACTGGTAGGAACACGCCCGTCCACAGAGCTTTCACATACAGAATTATTTACTTAGGATGAGTTTCTGGGAGTAAAACTCTAGCACTGAGGAATTTGAACGTCTGTATGTTTCCAGTATGTTCTCTCATTGTGAAATAAGAAGGTGATGCCACGTAGGAAGGAGGGAGAAGTGGGTCCCATTCGTTTTCATAGCATGAACGTGACAGTGGGCATCTCCCCACCGGCCCACCTGTCACAGTGTCCTGCTGGCCTGGACTTTGTCTGAGCACACAGACTTTTCCTGATTGAAAATCACACTGACCTCTTAGAGCTGCTGTCATCTCAGACTTGACGTCCAGGTCGTGGCTCGTCTGCAAGAAAAGACATCTCGGCAGTTATTCTGCATGGTACTAGAGGGACAGCCTTGCACAGAGGACGGCAATTGGGCCAAGCAGGGCCATCACCCCTCCCTGAAAAAGCTGCAGTCTGTGGAGGACCAGCTCTGCCTGTGTGCGTGAAGACCTCCCTCCTCCTCTCTCCAGGTTGCTCAAAGGAGAACAGGAATTGGTTTTGCTCTTAGGAAACACAGGCACACACACAAAAAATGATTTTGTTTCCTTTTCTCAAGTTAAAGCTCCAAATGGAGGCAGTAATAAAAGTGTTTTAGAAACTGCTATTTTTTAAAAAAAAAAAATTAATCAGGACATCTGGTGCTCCAGTGTCTCCCCTGGGGTCCCGGATTCAATCACCCAGGAATTCAGGTTGAGCTTGAACCTGAGTACACCACCTGCACCACCGCACAGACCAGCGTCCTCCTGGTCCCGCAGTGCACAGGGCAGGTGGGAAGTGAGACGGCAATGATCATTCAAGATCATTCAACTGGTTGGCCCGGAGGCCCCCGAGTGACTAAGCAAGAGCAACTGCTGGATCTTCAAGGCAGATTTGAGTTGTTTTCAGACCGGCAGTCTGGATCTTGCTTCCTCTTGGGTGTTCTGATGGGGCAGGGGCCGGTGTGCAGTGCTGCTGTGATAAGTGTCTTCCCTGTCTCCACTTCTAACACCTGGTCACGCTCATCCTCCAGGTATAGGAGGCCATCTCTATGCCTGGAAGGGCCCTGCCCTCGCTATCTGTCTCCAACGAACTTCTACGTAGATGTCAAGGCCGAAATTCAGATGTCGCCTCCTCTGTGAAGTCTTCCCTGACTCCACCTGGCAGAGTTCAGCCACCTGCCTCTCACACAGCGCCTCCTGTGCTGCAGTGACACCTGGGCTCTGTGAGCGTCCCTCTAACCTGGATTGACTGGTGCAGTGCCTAATCCCCAGGGACTTGGGTTATGACTCAGCCTCTTCTGGTAGTAACTGGACCACACCGGCACTCCTGGGGGCCTTTGCTACCAGGCACAATGCCTGCTCCTGAACTGTGCTCTTAGAAGACTTTGCTGTAGTCCCTATCAACACTGTTGTGTCTGCAAGCACCACGGACTTTCCCACCCCCGTGCCTGTGCCCACACAGGCCTCACAGCCTTGAGACCTTCATTCCATCCTTCCAACTGTTAAATCCTGCTTTTCATCCTTCAAGGCCTTGCCTGAGTGCTTCCTACTTGTGGGAAGTAGAAAAGTTCCTCTCTCAAGTTTCCTTTCTTGTTAAAGAATATGTGTGCTAATAACTCCTTGTTAAGCCATATCCTGTGCAGCTGTGAGACATGCCGCGCTTATAGGCCCATAGTACATTCTATATCCTTGTACCAAGATATCTGTGCTGGACATGCTCACAGGCATGTCCCAGGTCTCCATTGCTTTTACCTGTTAAGAAAAGTTTTAAGTTGATATCCAATCGGGTTTTATTTTAGATTGTGAGGTCTGACTCCAGCCAATGGAGATCAGACACAGTAGTAAGGACAACCCCAAGTGCATAAGGAATAAATGTGTTTGTTTTTTCTTTGTTCATTGTACTCTTGCTGCAAGACAGCTAGTGAGGACACCCTTCTTGCACTTCGGGAAGTAAAAATTGCATTGCTGAAAGATCCTTTGTCTCAGTGCTGATTTTTCTTTGTGGCACGGAGCATCTGTTTCCAACACTATTCCAGAGAGCATATCCCCCAATGAGTCTCTCTCCTCTCTCCTTATTTCCAGTGCTTCAGATGAATGCCTTTTATTACCCCTGGGTTTAGAGTCAGGTGTCTTCTCATTACATAGAGGCTCCTTCAATTGGAGAATGAGGTTTTGTTCGCCTTCGTGGAGGGTACACTGGCAGAGTAGCCTAAAGTGCACTAAGCTGACTTCTGGGTGGCCCTGCATTTGGTATGTGACTGAGGTGAAAGGACCCCTTTCGGCTTCCAGCTCCTCGATTGTCCCATCGGCCTGGGGGGCTGCAGAGATGGGCCTTCTCAGGGTAAGTCCTGGCTCTGCCACTTGCTGGTTCCATGATCCTGGCCAAGTCAGTTCAATTCTCTGAGCCTCACCGTCTCCATCTGCAGAACGGAAATACAGTACCAATATGTTCTTTGCAGGGTTCTGCCAGAATGAGATGAGAAGGAACATCTACTAAATGCCAGCGGCAGAGAGTAGGGGACAGATGAAGACGTGCGCTAAGCTCTCTCAAGCCCTGCCTCTCTCCCCACGCAAACTTTTAGGGGAATATTCTACATTTTATAAAAGGCAGGAGTAAAAGAGAAAGAAATTGCCCAGATCCTTGGAGGCCTGAGCTTGGGGATTGCTGATTTAATGAATTGGGGGAGTTCAGGGCTGTGAGGGACAATTCTTCGATTGTCTGAATATGACAGCTCCTTCTTTAGACCTGCTTCCTTTTCCAAAGGCCACATCTAGATCTCACTGACAAATACCCAGAGGAAAGTGGGAGGTGTCAGGAGGAAGAAGAAGCCGCAGGGCGAGAGGAGGTAAAATTAGCATCTTCTTTACTAGGTCACCTACCTCTTTGCCCCGACCGACCAGATGACTCTCCCCTGCTAGTGACCAAGGCCCCTTGCTGCTCCCAGGGGAACAAAACTGAGGTTTTGCTTGAAGGTGCCCCAAATGCTGCTGGGTGCCTGCGTGTGACAGGTGCTGTGCCAGGCATTTGACATGGAGTCTTATTCAAACCTCACAGAGCCCCACGGGGGACAGCAGCCCCCACCTGGCCTAAGACGACAGGTGGCTCAGGCAGGCGAAGGGCAAGTGCCAAGTTCATGAGATGGGTCATTATTTAGAATCAGGGTGTCATTGTCTGCAGGTGAATCCCTGTGCCCAGGGAGAGGACAGAAGGCAACCCCTTTAGGAGCACAGGAAGCTCAGGAGTTCTCTGTTCTCTGATGGGACCTTACATCTGTGGAGTGGACCCCAGGCCAGACCCCAGGGGTGGGCAGGAGAGCCAGCTGCCACCTTAGCCAGTGCTGTGTCCCAGGAGAGCCCAGGCACCCCTCTTCTCCTCGCCTTTGGTACCTGGACCTCTGCCTCCAAAGTCTCAGGGGTGGGGTAGGGGGACCATGTCACCAAATACAATGTGTCTCATTTCGGGCTTGTGAATATCAACAGCCTAGATCCAGGCAAAACACAGGGAAAAACAAAGCAAAATAAAACCAAACCCTGGAGCTAGGGATCAGGGGAGGATTGGAGAGGGAGCACAACAGGCCCAAGAAGGTGCCCTGAGCCCCGCTCACTCCAGGCGTAGCGGGGGACAAGGTGGAATTAAGAACTCCAGAGAGGTTTTAGGAGTCTGAGAATGGCAGGAGCCTGCCTTCCCCGAGGGCCCATCTCCAGCTAACACCAGGAGGAGCAAGGCTCGTGTTCCTAGCAGAAGGAAGAGTGACCTCTGCCATGGCCAGGCTGACCACATAAGATTCCCCCCACCGCAGAGCAGGCACCCGAGCTGGAGAGAACCAGCAGAGCAGGAGGAAGGAAGCCAGGGCAGATGCAAGGGTGACCGACGGACGCCAGTGACCTGGACAGCACAACAGCAGATGCCAGCACAGATGGCGGTACCCATGGCCCCCAGTCCATCGCCACATGCCTGCAGAAAGAGCACTGGGGCCAAACCGTCTGAGGCTCCATTTCCACTGCCCACCCAAACCAGGGTGAGAAAAGGAAATGGAAAGGCAAAGACTCAGTGAAGTGCAGGGAGGGGAGGTGGTCCCTGACTGCTGCCTGCATGGGCACCAGGCCACGCCACCTTCTCCTGAAAGGGCAGAGCTCAGTGGTCCCAGCCCAAGGCCCGGCACCCACCCGTCAACAGCCCCGGTATGTGCTGAGGCTCAGGGTCCCCGTGGAGCCTTGCAGCAGGATGCTGGGAGGGGGGAGTAAGCAGATCCATGGAGAGCGCGTGAGGGGGCGGGCAGTGTGAGCCTTGGCCGTCATGGCTTAGCTGGATACATGGTCCTTTGCTGCTCTGGCACGTCCCACCTCAAGCCGATCAGAGTCTCCCCAGCCATCCTCATAGCCCTCCTGGGCTCCCAGCCAGAGCCCAAAGGCTTCCATCGGGAATTCCATCTGTGTCCTCTGAATCGAGAGTTACTGCCCATCAAGCAAGCAAGCAGCACTGAACATGCTTCTTGCCCAGCTACCAGTAGGAGGAGCTGCCAATACCACTCCCACCCTGCTCTCCACTAACTAAAGAACCAAGATGCAGACACCGCGGGAGGGCAGAGGTGCCGGTGGCCTCCCGTCCAGCCCAGCCTCCCCCGACTCCTCCCCGTGGTCTCCCGTCCAGCCCAGCCTCCCCCCACTCCTCCCCGTGGCCTCCCGTCCAGCCCAGCCTCCCCCCACTCCTCCCCGTGGCTTCCCGTCCAGCCCAGCCTCCCCTCATTCCCCACCTGGGGACCACACCGCAGCCAGCCTGGAGCTCTCTTAATTTCTGAAACACATCACATTTTTTTTCCACTTTCACAAGGTCCGGCAGGGACACCCTGGTCCTCGGAAGCATGTCCAGGCCCAGAAGCACATCCTTACAGGAGATGAATGGGCCTGTCTGATGACATCATTGTAACAACTCTCCCTGTTCTCATTCTAGGCTCCCAAGTGACTGATGAAGAAATGAATGAAAAAATTTGATTTTCCAGATAATTACAAGGAGAAAATATGCTGACAATTTTCATCCATTTAGCAGATACTTCAACCTGCATAATAGTTCTATTTCTCATAGAAAATTAAAAAATTAATGGTCTGGTATATACATCATTCTCTATGAGTTTGGTTATTGCAAGTCAGCCTATCCAACCCCAGTGAACATTTCAGTTCTAGTTCCAGGGCCTATGAGAGCGAGGAGCAGCAGTTAGAAGGCGGGCAGCTACGAGGATGCCCTTCAGCAGACAGCCAGCCGGCTTTCCAGGACAACACCTGCTGCATTTAATGTTTGATCCTTTGACAACCTGGAACTCTGCTTTCAATTGTATCTCAGTTAACTCCCGGTTATTGGGCCCCTAGTGGATCCCAGGGACGATGCAGGCACTTCAGAGAGATTCTGCCCTCTTTTCTCACCCCTATTCTAGTTCTGAAAGAGTCTTCCACCCCTTGGGCAAAGAGAAGAGCAAGAGACTGGGAGTCTGGGGCTCTGGATTCAAGTTCCGGCTCTGAACCGAGTCAACAAATGGACCTGAACATGTCTCTTGGCCTCCAGGCCTCCATTTCTGCTGTGCGATGATTTGGACCAGAGGGCACCTCTGAAGGCTGTGAGGGAAAGGAAGGGTCAGCAGAGGCTGGCCTTGCAGAGACCAGGCTGGGCAGAGCTGCAGAGGGAGACTCAGACCTGGTGCCAAGGGGCCAAGAGCAAGCCCCATAGGCAGAGCCTGGAGGGAGCCTGGAAAACAGCCCCTTCTGTGTGTGCTGTTGGAGCTCCGTCTCGCATGTGCGCGTAAGGAGCGGAGCAGGTGTGGCGGGGGCACTGCTGGCTTGCTGCCGAAGGGGGCTCCTTGTATGTGTGTGGGCAGGCGTGGCTGGGCACCCGTGGGTGCCGACTGTAGTCAGGAGAACTCATCCCGGCTTGCACCACCTGTGTGACCTGGAGCACATCTCCTGACCTCTCTGGCCTCCGTTTCCTCTTTTGTTGACCACTGGGAGGGGAGATTCTCTTTCATTTGGCTCATTATTTCATTCACACATTCAACAAACATTCTTCCAGGTTTGTTGCAGATTCTCGGAGCCAGGCACTGGGAAGACAAAGGAGGCTACGGAGCAGCTCTGGAACCATAAAGTCCAGCCGGGAGACTCCCTGCTCACGCCGTCACGCACTTCCACGTACAGTGGAGCACAGGGAGGGTGTGGTTAACTCTCTGGTCTGCAGGGTTCACAGCAGGCCATCTGGGCAAGGTCACACCTGTGCCTTGAAGGATGGACAGGGGGCCGTGGGGTGACTGAGGCAACCTGCCAGAGGAAGGGCCAGTGCACAGGTCCCAGGGCACGCACTAAAGACCCATCTTGTGACACACACCCAATAAAGTTTGTATGACGCTGAATTCAAATCACTGTTTGTGGCCGGGCGCAGTGGCTCATGCCTGTAATCCCAGCACTTTGGGAGGCTGAGGTGGGTGGATCAAGAGGTCAGGAGACAGAGACCATCCTGGCCAACATAGTGAAACCCCCTTTCTACTAAAAATACAAAATTAGCCAGGCGTGGTGGTCCATGCTTGTAATCCCAGCTACTCGGGAAGCCAAGGCAAGAGAATTGCTTGAACCCGGGAGGCAGAGGTTGCAGTGAGCCAAGATCATGCCACTACACTCCAGCCTCGGAGACAGAGTGAGACACTGTCTTGAAAAAAATAATCACTGCATCTGTGCCCTGCACCATTTCCTGAGCACTGCGAAGGGTAAGGATTGCCAGATCCACCTTCCCATGTTCACCCAGGGCACCGGCATGAGCACAGAGGAAAAGCCAGGGGGTGTTTTCTTGGGTATGTAACCGTGGATGGAGGGAGGGAGGAAGGAGGGGCTGTTGGGGCCAGGCAGAGGCATGCATCGGACCTGTCCACACCCCAGTAGGAAGCAGGGACAGGGCTGTCTCTGGGACTTTACCTCTGGGACTCCAGGATCCAGGAAGGCGGCCACGTACTCAGCCAGTGCCATGTCGCCGAGCATGTTCTGCGCCAGCTCGGAGAGCAGAAGGTCCACCGGCCCATGTCTGTGCAGCTCCTGCAGCAGGCGGGTGATCAGGCGGTTCCTCTCCCGGCACTTACGGACCAGGGAAGCTACCTTGGCCTGCGAGGGAGAGAGGCCATGGATGTAGAGCTGCCCCCAGGGCTGCATGGCTGAGCTGGGGGCTGGGAGCCAGAGAGTCAGCCGAGGCCCCTACTTGCCATCCCAGCTCTGCCTCAGCTCAGCGGAGCAGCCTCCTCCCTGCAATGCCTCCCTGTACCCAGAAGCCAGGCTGCTTTCGGAGCAGACTCCCACACACCTTCAGGAGCTCCGCACTGCCCTCCCATGGGGTCAAGGCACAAGGCAGCAAGGGGTCAAGAGCGTGGATTTGGGCACCACCATGGACCAGCTCTGTGAGCAAGTGCCCCTCCGCACCTCCACTTGCCCATCTGTACAATGGGGGTTGTCCCGGACAACAGGATAAAAAGAGATGGTGCTGGCAGGCGCCCACCCAGTGTCCTGTTTCCATCCTTATCTCACATTTCCATAGCACTTTGTAAGGGATTATGGTCTTCATTTAAAGAAATGCTCCGCAGCAAAAGGTGGCCACGAGAGGGAGGAGGAGGGAAGCTTCGAGCTACGGGAGCTTCACGGTCCGCTCTGCACCTTCCCAGCTACCGCGTCTGCAGGGGTGCGGCAGGAATTATGACAATTTTTATTTTACTGGCACCAACTCGAAGCTCAGACAGACACAGAAATGTGGGGTGGGAAGTGACTTTAGGAACTGCGTGGCTCACGTTTCTGATTTGACCGCTGAGGAAACTGAGGCCCCAGAGGGAGGATGACTCTGCAGGTCAGAGGGAGCACCCGGGCGTAACCAGGTTCTGCTGATGCCCAGCCCAGGTCACCTCCCTCTCCACCCTGCCCTGAGGCCAGAGAGAAAGAGCAGAGCCCCCAGCTTCTCCCTTGATCCAGGCCCATGTTCAAGATGAAATGTTACCTTAACCAAATTCCGTGTCCTGCTAGCAAAGAACATATTAAACCCCGTGGGCCACTAATGACATTTCCAGGAACTGATCTTAAACATAAATGTCTAGATACTTGGAAAAAAACCTGAGAAGAAATGTACATTGGCCAGGTGGATGGCTCACGCCTGTAATCCCAGCACCTTGGGAGGCCAAGGTGGGCAGATCACCTGAGGTCAGGAGTTTGACACCAGCCTGGTCAACATGGCAAAACCCCATCTCTACCAAGAATACAAAAATTAGCCAGGCATGGTAGCGCATGCCTATAATCCCAGCTACTGGGGAGACTGAGGCAGAAGAATCGTTTGAACCCAGGAGGCAGAGGTTGCAGTAAACCAAGATCACACCACTGCACTCCAGCCTGGGTGACAGAGCAAGATTTCGTCTCAAAAAAAAAAAAAAAAGGAAAAGAAAAAAATGTGCATCACAGTGTTTATATACAATTAATGATACAAGAGAGCGATAGAAAGGAAGGGGCTTGAACACAGAGCGTGGGGGTGGTGATTTTATGAACCAAGGCGTCTCGCACTGCACCCCAGCATCAACAGTGCAGCCTCGAAGGCTGGGACCCAGGGGAAGTGCCCTCCTAGGTCACCCCATCAAGTGGGAGCAGCAGGAGGCAAAGGTAGAGGCATCGTAGGCTTTCAAACACATGGGAAACATATTGGAGAAAAACACACAGAAATGTTATGTGCAAGTAGAGGCTCGGGTGCTGCCTGTCTCCTTAATTCTTCTTTCCAGCTTTTTTTTTTTTTTTTTTTTTTTTCAGAGTCTCATTCTGTTGCCAGGCTGGAGTACAGTGGCGTGATCTCAGCTCTTCTGCAACCTCTGGCTCCCGGGCAAGTGAATATCTGCCTCAGCCTCCCAAGTAGCTGGGATTACAGGCACACACCACCATGCCCAGCTGATTTTTGTATTTTTAGTAGAGCCAGTGTTTCACTGTGTTGCCCAGGATGGTCTCGATCTCTTGATGTGGCAATTTGCCTGCCTCGGACTCCCAAAGTGCTGGGATGACAGGCATGAGCCCTCGTGCCCGGCTGTTTTGTTTGTTTTTGAGTCAAGATTTCGCTCTGTTGCACAAGGTGGAGGGCAATGACACGATTTCGGTTTACTGCAGACTTCACCTCCTAGGCTCAAGCAATCCTCCCACCTCAGCCCTCCCAAGTAGTTGGAACTACAGGCGCATGCCACCATGCCAGGCTAATCTTTGTATTTCCTGTAGAGATGGAGTTTTGCCACGCTGCCCAGGCTGGTCTCACACTCCTGAGCTCAAGCAATCCGCCCAACTCAGCCTCCCGAAGTTCTGGGGTTACAGGCATGAGCCGCTGCGCCCAGCCATACCTAAATTTTTATACAACAGAGGCAGATTACATTTCTAATGGGAAAAATACTAAACTCTCTTTTGTCTGGAAAGAGGCATTTCGTATTGATTTTATGAACACATTACCTTCAGGGGAGTCACTGCCAACTGTGCTTCATGTTGTTTTTGCTGAAGTTCTTCAAGCTGAAATAGAGGCGACATTTTTTACAACGCTGCACCACCACTTACCACCGTCCAGGGCTTCCCTGGTGAGCCGGGCTCAGAGCAGCTGGCAGTCACCTGCCCTGTTTACCCTCATGGGGACCCAGTGCCAGGAACAAGGGCCTTTCCCAACACCTGCCTGGCAGGCTCAGGGGAGGTCCGATGTTCTGAATACTCAAGAGTCAGCTCTGCCCAACTGCAGTGGCTGGGGCCAACTCCAGGCCTTCTTCTGAGTCCCTACGCAGCGCAGCAATTTTCTGGTCTTGTGGTAAACATACAAGTTCCTGAGCCAGACACCAGGGGTCCTAATCCGGGCTCAGCCAGTCGCTGGAACTGAGATCTTGCACAAGGCTTTCTCCATCTGCCTCTGTTTTCTCATCCGTGAAGTGGGCTCACATGAGTACCCACCCACTGGTGAGAACTGTAGTGAGGATTTGGGGAAGGAGTTCATGTAAAGTGCTTAGAACAAGCCCTAGCACCTGACCTGTCAGTGACCAACAAACTGATGTTACTATTAGGTGCAGATGAAAGCTGGGCGCAGATTCTTTGAGACTGCTCCCTGCGGAGGGGGTCCCTGTCCCCTTCCCTCTGATCTGGGCTGACCTGAGATTCCTTGACTCATAGAATGCAGCCCGGCTTTGAAGAGGACTGGCAGCTTCCACTTTGGGTATCTTCTGTTCCTGAGGCAGGATTTAAGAAGTCCCAGTGTCCTTTGGGGAGACCGTGAGACATGACAGAGAAAAGGGAAGGCACAGGTGGGGGCCACCTTCCGCCACCCTGCTCGTGAGTGAGGCCAGCGGGGACACCCTAGCCGACCTGGCATCCAGCCGGATACCACGGAGTCATGCCCACTGATCCCCTGGAGGGCAGAAGAGCCTAGCAGAGTCTTGTCTGAATTCCTGACCCATAAGACATAACAAAACAGATGCTGTGTAAGCTCTTCTGACTCTCTCATTCCCTGTGTAGTCAGTTAAAACAAAATAAAAAGCTATATAGATAAAAGGCCTCTTTCTCACCCCCAACCGCTTCTGACCTCTAGTTTTTTTTCAACCCAACATACCCATATGAATCAGAATGTGTGTATATGAAATTATACTATGTGAAAGGTTTTGGATCTTACTTCATGGTTAAATATGCAAGATTTTAAAAGAATGAGATCAGTTTGTATGTGATGATACAAAATTTTTGTGCTATTTTCATACTAATGCATAGAAGCTGAATTCATTCTTTTAAAATCTTGCATATTATTTAATCACAAAGCTGAAACAAAATTGATTTAACCAGTACTTTGTTTATGAAAATTTGTATTATTTCTATTTCTTTGTTTTAGAAACAAATCTTCAGGCCGGGCGCGGTGGCTCATGCTTGTAATCCCAGCACTTTGGGAGGCCGAGGTGGGTGGATCACGAGGTCAAGAGATCGAGACCATCCTGGTCAACATGGTGAAACCCCGTCTCTACTAAAACTACAAAAAATTAGCTGGGCATGGTGGCGCGTGCCTGTAATCCCAGCTACTCGGGAGGCTGAGGCAGGAGAATTGCCTGAACCCAGGAGGCGGAGGTTGCGGTGAGCCGAGATTGTGCCATTGCACTCCAGCCTGGGTAACAAGAGCGAAACTCCGTCTCCAAAAAAAAAAGAAACAAATCTTCAACGAATATTTCCATATATCGATTTTGGCACAACTTTCCTAGTATATTCAAAGAGTAAAATTCCAGCTTTAAGCAGACTGTCTTATATTCAAAAGGCACTCAATCATATTTGCAGACTTGGATTAAACCTTCCGTCTGCTTCAGTTTAGGAAACAGCATAAATATGCCTCAGTGAGAAATGTATTGGGCATTTGCAATTAAAAAACGAATCAGAAGAAATTAAAAAGATAACCTACAGAATTGGAGGAAATATCATATATCTAATAAAGGACTTCTATCTAGAACATAAAAGGAACTCTTCACAACTCAACAAAAAAATAGTCAATTAACCCTATTAGAAAAATGGGGAGGGCTGGGCATGGTGGCTTATGCCTGTAATCCCAGCACTTTGGGAGGCTGAGGTGGGTGAATCATGAGGCCAGGAGTTCAAGACCAGCCTGGCCAAGATGGTGAAACCCAGTCTCTCCTCTACTAAAAACATAAAAAAAAACTAGCAGGGCATGGTGGCAGGTGCCTGTAATCCCAGCTACTTGGGAGTCTGAGGCAGAGAATTGCTTGAACCAGGGAGGTGAAGTTGCAGTGAGCCAAGATCATGCCATTGCACTCCAGCCTGGGTGGCAGAGCGAGACTCCATCCCCCACCCCCTCAAAAAAAGAAAGAAAAGAAAAATGGGAAGAATCTGAATAAATGCTTCTTCAAATAAGACATACAAATGGCCAGTATGCACAGGAAAAAATGTTCCACGGTATTAGTCATCAGGAAAATACAACTCAGAACCAGTGAGAGACAATTTCCCACTAACTAGGATGTCTAGAATAAAACAGACAGCTAGTAGCAGATGTTGGGGAGGGTGAGAAATTGGAACTTTCCTACACTGCTGGTGAGAAGATAAAATGAATTTATCAGAGACACTCTTCCTCTTTAAAGCAACTGTGATTGAGATGTTCAAGAATTATATTATAAAAACATCATCCTAAAACTGGGAACTATGAAAAAGAATCATAGGGAAATTCTAGACCTGCAAAATGGACTAACTGAAATGAAGAACTAATAATGTGAGTTTAAGAGCAAATTTGATTCATCCAAAGTGTACTATTTAGCTGGAAGAGAGATTCGAAGGAAATATCGAAACTCAGCAGAAGGAAAAAAGAAAGACAATAATTTAAAATGTACTTAAAGTCTAATTCATGTGTAACTGAAGTTTCCACACACCCCTCCCCACAGGCCAGTGACAGATAAGAGAAGAAAGCAAGACTAGCTCTTGTGTTGGTTGAAGACGCAGTGAACAAGGCACACTCATTTGTCGCTGGTGGCGTGGAAGTGGGTACCACTACTTTGGAGAGCAATCTGCGGTGTGCAGCTAAGGATCAACAATATTCTCCCCTTTGGAGCTGGGTGTCCCAGTTCTCTGAAGTGTTACATATAAACGGTTATCTGTAAGTTCATAGAACTAGCTATAGATGCAACAGTGGGGAACAGTTAAGGAAACCACATCGACCCAATAGATTACTCCACAGTCAACAATCAGACAAACTGTAGTAGATAACTACACAGTCAAACAATCATGCATGCGAAGACTATGCAGCCACATGGACAAATGCACATAAAGCTCTACATGTAACATGCTTTGATGTTACAAACAACACATGGGAAAAGAGCCAGAAATTACACCGTAATGCTGAGGCTGTATTTTTCATCCATCAACTTGTCCAAAAATTGTAAAGTTGCTAACATTCACGGTAACATGTTATGGGCAAACGAGTGGACTCATTTCATCTTGGGAGTAAAAATGATGCTACTATTTTGGAGGGTTATTTGCTATTAACTGCTGCAGTTTATATATACATATATATCTCCTTTCTTTTGCTACAATTTTGCCATTTAGATATGCAGCAGAAGCATATGCTGAGAGAGAGAGAAAATTGTTAATTGAAGCTGTGTTTGTAATGCGAAGAAATGGAAACAACTTGAACTTCCACAAACAAAAAATGGACTAAATAAGTAATAATTTGGCCTCATGATGACATAATACATAAGATTTTAAAGGAATGAGGTCACTTTGTATGTGTTGATATGAAAATGCCACAACGTTCTTAGTTAAGTGACAAAATCAAGATGCAGAATAGTTTTGTACAGCGTAACTTCGAATGTACACATGCACATTCAGACAGCGGGTAGATAGGGTTGAAACAGTATTGGAAGTCAGAAGAAGTTGAGATTGAGGAAAAGGAAAGATTTTATATTTTTTATTTTAAAAAATTTAGATGACTAAGATTTGGATATAATTGTAAGAAATAATACAGAGAGCTCTCTTGTACATGTTTTCTTGAGATAGGGTCTTGCTCTGTCGCCCAGGATGGAGTGCACCCTTGTACATTTTGCCCAGTTTCCCCCAGTGGGAATATTTTGCAAAACTATAGTGTCATATCACAGCCAGGAGTTGAAATGGACACAATCCACTGATCTTATTCAGATATCTCCAGTTTTACACGTGTGTGTGTGCGTGTTAAGTTCTGTGCAACTCTGGTACCCCTATAGGTTTGAGTCTCCACCACTCACTTCCCTCTGACAGAGGAAGGGTTTGACCTTTATTTATATGACACTGTAAACCTGCTTGACTTTTTAAAGAAACCACTTATGTGTATTTTTAAAATTTAACAGAGAAGGTATGATAGAGTCTGTATTTTTCTTCCTGGTACTGTCTTATACTTTAAAAATCCAGTACCTGCTTCCGACTGGCTAGAAAGGTCAGGGAGACCTCAGCCAATCCTTTTCCACTCCCAAAACGCCCCGGGGTGTGGGATCCCTGGCTGACAAGAGGGGGAAAGAAACCGCTTCGCAAACCTTGGCCTGGAGCTCCTCCTGGAGACGAGTGGCCTTGTCCCGATATGCCTGGTGGGTGGCGCCCAGGTCCCTGAGCTGGCACTGTAATGTCAGTACCCGGTGATGGAGCTGCCGGGCATGCAGCCTGTGACCCTCCTCAGTACCTTCAGCCTCTGAGTCCTGGAGCTGCGGAAAACACAGATTTGAATGAAATTTTTAGGTTACCTTCCAAGCAATTTGCCTTAGCCAACAAACTGTACCTGTTTCCCCACCCTTTAGTTATTTTCCCCCCACTTACACTTCTCTTACAGTAAAAAAGTTTCAGAAAATAAAGTAGCAGAAATCACTCTCAATCCGATTATCCTACACCACCTTTGTTATTATCCATAGATTTTCTGCAGACTTCCTGCTGAGCCCCTCACCATGTGCATGTATAGGGGTGCGTGGTTCTGCTTGGTTTCCGGACGGGGACATTGGGGAGGGCCAGGAGAGCCCCAGAATAACAGCCTGGAATATTATCCTCAAAAGTATGTGCAGTGGGGTGGCACTCCAGAATCTGCTGGAATAGATACCAGTCACTGTTATGCTGAAACAGCGTGATGAGTGAAACTGAATGTCCCAATCAAATTAGGAGATGCTTATTACCCTAAAACATAATATGTTGTACAAAACAGAAGATACCATATCTCCCATAGGCACTTTCCCCAAATCAATACACAATCGCCTCTCACTCTTCCTGAATCTAAGGTGAGGGTAGCGGGTTCCATTCAGATGCCAAAGGGAATTTCTGGAAGGGAGGACAGTGAGAGGGAAGAGGCTGACTTCACCTCGTGGGAAGTGTGGCGAAATGGGGGAGGTGCTGCTGCCCCCAAATGGTTTTGAAGTCTAAATTCTTATTTTTTAAGTAACTCACATACATATGCGCACACAAACGTACATAAACTTTTCTATATAAAATTTAAAATACGATATACGTCCTTTGTTTCCTGCTTTTCTCCCTAACACTGTGTCCTGGGCATTTTTCCATATTACCAAATAATGTTGAAAATGCTATTATTAATATATACATAGTTCTGTGGCCACGCTGAGCACTCGAATTATTCTAACATTTTGCTGTTATAATTGGAACGGTGACAAAGACCCTTGTGCATAAATACTTGGACATACCTCTGATGCTTTCCCTGAGATCGTCAGGGGGGGATTTCTGGGTCAAACAACATGAGCATCTTGAAGCTCTTGGTTCATGCTGCTAAGGTGGCCTCAGAAGGGAACAGCACTGCTAAAAGTTCCCTTTGTGAAGATTTAGGAACCCAGAAACTCGGATGCTTCTCAAACACCCTCCACCTTGTGATGGCAGCCCTCTTTTCCTTTAAGTCAGCTTCCCTAGGAATTATAAGGCCCCAAAACTGGTCCCGACCGAGTGGGAGTAGGTAGGAGGGGGAATGCCGGGCTACCCTGCTTGGGAATGAGAAAGAAGGGAGAAGAGGAAGAGAAGGAAGGACCCAGGTGACTTCATGGCTGCTGAGGCATCTCTCTTGTAATAAAATATACAATAGTAGAAGAGGATTTTTTAATTAATAGAAATATACACCACGTGGGCCTGAGATGCACAGGCTGGGCCCTGTCAAGAACAGATGGGTGCTCCGAATGGTCCCGTAAAATTCAGCTCCAAGACTTCAAAACAACTTGGCCTTTCTGGGAAGTATGTTGCCTCCCCTGCCTTCCTCCTGTGGCAGTGACTTGGACCAGGGCTTTGCCCCATGGGTCCTCAGAGAGCACCCAAGTGTCCTCTAAAGAGAATGGCCCTGCGGGTGGGGCCAGCCTGCTGTCCCACGGGATCTCGCCACAGCAGCCTGAGAGCTGCCCAGCGAGTCTCCTGCTCTCTAGCGGACATCGTGAGCACATGTACTGGCTGCACGCTGGCCTGAGATAACAGTGGCGACACTGCCCTCCAGGAGCTCAGGCTGGTGGGGACAATGACAAGCAGGTGTTCAACATTCAATACAGCCTGATAAAGGGGAGTCAGGAGGCTGTCACCACCTGAAGGGGGCGCAGAACAGAGACCTCATCCAGCTGCGGGGTGGCAACTGTACAACCCCCACATTCTGGGTTGGGGGGACAGCATCAATCTGTAGCATTTGCCAATTTCCATGGTGTGAATGTTCCCACCATCACTGACCACAAGCTACCAAAACAGCCTCACTGAAGGCAGAGTTGGGAGGAGACACACACAAGTTGGCTCTGACTTGCCTCTGCACAGAACCCAGCCTGGGGCTTGAGGGGATGCTTTCTGGAGGAGACGCCTCCCCCCACAGGAGACCTAGAGGAGAAAGCTGGGTGCAGGGAGGGGTGGATGAAGAAGGTGAAGGATGAGGGCAGAGGTGGCAGCATGGCGTGTGGAGCTGGGGTGTGAGCAGGAACAGTGGAAGCTCCCGAGGGCCTCAGGGGCCAGAGCAGTGCTCACTGTAGTAAGTCTGCATCTCATGCCCAGTGCAGTAAGAAGCCACAGAGGGTTTTAGGTAAAAGAGTAACACGTCAGGTGATGGTGACTTCCTGTTCATCACCAAGTCCCATGGATTCCAACTCCAGTTTTCACTCCAAATTCCTCAATCCCAGTGTCACCTCTTGGCTATCCAGCCACCAACTCCTCTCAAGTGTTCTCCATCAATCCACCTGAACCATTGTTCTCAGAGCAGACAGATCTTGTCACAGTATAAACTGGGTCACATCATTCTGCTCAAAACCCTCTGATGGCTTCCTACCACATCTAGAATAGATTCAAACGAGGGCCTGTGAGCCTCCTGTGACCTGCCTTGTGACAACTTCTCCAGCCTCATCTCAAACTACACCCCTCCTTGCCCACTGGGATCCAGCCACACTGGCTACTTTCTGCTTTTCAATGAGCCAGCCTCTGTCCTGCCTCAAGGCCTGGCCACTTGCTTTTCCCTCTGCCTGGAATGCTCTTCCTTGCTGCTCCTTTCTAACCTTCAAACTATCAGCTCAATATTCACCTCCTCAGATTTCTGTACTCCTACTCACTGGTATTGGACAACTATAAAATCTGGGGAGAATATATACAATTAGTGCTTTGCAGGCATTGGAAGATGACTGGTGCAGAACCGTGATCCTTAAGAAAAAGAATGCAGTCTATCATCAATGGGCATTTGGGTTGGTTCCAGACTGGACAGGGAAAATGTGGTACATATACACCATGGAATACTATGCAGCCATCAAAAATGAAGAGTTCGTGTCCTTTGTAGGGACATGGGTGAACCTGGAAACCATCATTCTCAGCAAACTGACACAAGAACAGAAAATCAAACACCGCATGTTCTTACTCATAGGCGGGTGCTGAACGATGAGAACACATGGACACAGGGAGGGGAGCACTACCCACTGGGGTCTGTTGGGGGGAAATGGGGGAGGGATGGGGGGTGGGGAGGTAGGGAGAGATAGCATGGGGAGAAATGCCAGATATAGGTGAAGGGGAGGAAGACAGCAAATCACACTGCCACGTGTGTACCTATGCAACAATTTTGCATGTTCTTCACATGTACCCCAAAACCTAAAATGCAATTAAAAAAAAAAAAAAGAAAAAGAATGCACTATAAGGCAGGCTCCACATTTTCCCCAGATCTCTCTCTGAAACATTTTCCAAACAATGGTTCTGAAAATAGAGCCCAAGCTGAGAGTGGTGGTCCTGTTAGGTGGAAAAATAGAGCTTGGAGTTTAGGGATGCTAAGACTGCTGGGGTTTCTGGGACAAAGTAACAGGGACGAGAGGGCTGCAGAGAAAAAAAGTCCAAATACTGTTCTAGAAATGCCCCTTGGGTCCTTGGCTGAATCATACGCTATGTGGCACAGTAGACGACTTGCAAAGAACAGCAGCTTGGAGGTTAATTGGTGACAAGACATCACAGGTCACACACTTCTGAGAAGGTGGCAGAGTTCTGGCCAAGCCAAAATGGAGAGGACTTCGTGAAAGCTGTGGAACTCAGCTGATGTCACTGAGAGGCGATGCCCTAAGAGCAAGGACCACACCTTAGGAGTCATATCAAGCCCTACCCGGTCTGAGGGCAAAGCTTAAATAGGCCTACATGAGAATAAGATGATCTACTGATCATGCAACTATCTGCCAGAATAAAATTCACTCAGCATTCTTTGGAGAAAGATAATAATCAGGAATCTGCATAACATATTATACACAATGTCCAATATATGAGTTTTTGAAATTCTTAGACATGAAGAAACAGAAAAGTGTGACTGTTCACCAAAAAAACAAAATAGTCAATAGGAGCAGGCAAAGAGATGATCCAAATATTGGAGTTATCAGCAAAAAAAAGGCCTTCAAAATAATTATGATCTGTATATTTTTTAAAACATAGAAAAAATAAAGAAAATGGATGTAAAGATGGAATATTTTAACAGAGAATCAAAATATATTTTTAAAAGAATAAAATGGATATTCTAGAACTCCAAAATACAATAAATGAAATTAAGAACTCATTGAATAGATTTAATAGAAGATGGGACACAGTAGGCCACAGGACTAGTGAACTAAAAGGCAGGTCAATACAAAATCCAGACAGAGGCAAACATTTTTAAAACTAATACAGGATTTTTGAAGGAGAGGAAAGAAAAATAGAACAGAATAAAACATTTGAAAAAATAATGACCAAGAATTTTCTAAGTCTGATAAAAGACATAAATACACAAGTTCAAGAACCTCAAAAGAAAAAAAAAAAAAAAGGACAAAAAACAAATAAAACCATATGTAAGCACATTATAGTTATATGTCAAACCTCAAAGATAAATAGGAAATTATAGAAGCAGTCAGAGACAAAATGACACAATTATGTCAGGGGGAGTGAGGAAGAAAACAATGACAATTACAAGTGATTTCTGGGCAGAAACTATGAGAGGCAGAAGACAGTGGAATGAGACCATTTTAGATCCAAAAGAGCAAAATACCTGGATACCTAAAATTCAGAATCCAATGGGAAAAAAATTTTAATGAAGGTTAAAAAATTATTTTCATAAAAAGAAATATGAGAAAATGAATCACCAGAAAATTCTCACTATAAAAAAAAAAAAAAACACAGTTCTTAAGGCAGAAGGAAACTAGAGCCACAGAAGAATAAGAAAGAACGAACAGCACAAGAACATGTAAAGATATAGATAAATGGAAAAGACTATGACTATTTAAAATAACAGTGGCTTACAAGATCTATTCTGCATAGAAGTAATATATATCAGAAAAATAAATAATAAAAAGTAAAAAGAATAAATGAAGTTAAACTATTGAAAGATTTTTGCATTAATCAGGACATCGTAAAAAAAACCGAATTTAAAGTAAATTCAAATAATTACTAGATATATTTTTGAAATGCCTAGAGTGACCACTGAAAGAGTAATGTTAAAACACAAGCTAATGGAGAAGAAAAATAAATAACAAAAATATAATGAATACCAAAAACAAAGGCAGGAAAGAAAGAATAAAACAGAACAGATGAGACAAATAGAAAAAAAAAAGTAAATAAATAAAATCAATTGGCCTGGCTTGGTGGCTCATACCTGTAATCCCAGCACCTTGGGAGGCCGAGGCAGGTGGATCACCTGAGGTCAGGAGTTTGAGACCAGCCTGGCCAACATGGTGAAACCCTGTCTCTACTAAAAAATACAAAAATTAGCCAGCATGATGGTGGGAGCCTGTGATCCCAGTTACTTGGGAGGCTAAGGCAGGAAAATCACTTGAACCCAGGAGGCAGAGGTTGCAGTGAACCGAGATCACATTACTGCACTCCAGCCTGGGTGACAGAGCAAGACACTGTCTCAAAATAAATAAATTATTTAATTAAATAAAATTTTAAAAATAAAACAAAATAAAGAAGACTATAATAGATATTTAAAATAACTAAAAAGAGAAATACACAAATGCACGCTCAGACTGGAAGATTCTAAAACACGTCTTGGTTAATGACAACACATTGACAAAGATAGAAGAGATTTGGTTAAGACAATTAACCAACGTGGCCTAATGAATACACAGCAATCAAAGAATGTTCATTATTTGCAAGGGCATGTGAGATATGCTGTTGGCCATAGACCATAACCTGGTCAATAAAACAAGTCTCAGAAAATTGTAGAAGACTAAAATAATATGCTGTATACCTTCCAACAACAATGAAGTAAAACTAGAAATCAATGGTAAACGTGTAACTGAAAAATTCCAGAGATGCTTAGAAATTAGGCAACAGGTTTCTAAATAATCCATGAGTCAAAGAAGAAATCATAATAGAAATTAGAAACTATTTTGGTTATTTTAGGTTTTTGTTGTTGTTGTTGCTTGTTTTTATTTCATCGTCTCTGACTTTAATTCCTAAATCAATAAAATAAGGATCGCTATAACAATGTCATTTGAGGTGATTTTGAGGAATAAATGATAGTATATGAATTTCCTGGCACATAGTAGATAGGCAATACATATTCTTTATCTCTAATCCTTAGAAACTATTTTGAACTGAACAGACTTCATCTCAAAATGTGTGGGATGCCTAGAGAGAAATTTATAGCCTTAATTGCATAGATTGCAGAAGAAGAACAGCTGAAAATCGGTGACCTAAGTTTTCAACACAAGAAGCAAGAAAAAGAACAGCAAATGAAATCAAAAGCAAGAGGAAGAAAAAATATAATGAAGATATAAGAAGAAACCAATGAAATAAAATACAGTAAATCAATAAATAGAATCAGTAAAACTAAAAGGTGATTCTTTGAAATGATTGATAAAATTGTTGAGGTCCGGGAGGAAAGACAGAAGGAGAGAAAGGAAAGAAGAAAGAGACAGAGAGAGAAACAGGGAAAAGGAGACAGGAGGGGGAGAGCAAGAAACAGAAAGATGGAGAGATAGAGAAGGAGGTGCAGAGAGAGGAAAGGAGGGTGAGTGGGTGGAGCCAGATGGGACAGAGAAACAGAGATAGAAAACAGAATGAATGAATGCCAAGAACTCAACACTAAATATCCTGCACATGGTGAAGGTGGCCATAGGAACATTGTGATATTTTATCCCAGGACTCCCAAACGTCAAGAACTGTCCACAGATGAAGAGAGCGACTCAGAGAGGTCCACATGTGGCCTAAAAGTCTTTGCAAGCACAGAGCCAGGTTGGAACCCCGTTCTACCACATTCTATGGTCCATTGTTCTTTCCATCGCAACTTTCAGGACTCGATGTACAGAATTAGAACGCGGGCTGCTTGAAAAACCACAGGGTTGGAAAATGCACAGTCTGACCTTAAAGTGTGAACACCTCCTTAGTGCCCTGCTGGAGCCTAACCAGAGGGACAGGCTTCAATGTCCCATGGCAGGTGGGAACAGAGACCCCGGGGCGAGAGCGTCCAGGTGCGAGTCCCGCTCCTCCCCTCACTGGCTGTGTGACTACAGTGACTGCGTTTCTCTGTTTTCTCTGTACCAGCCTCCTCTCATCTGGTAAGTGGGGAGGATGACTGTACTTCCCTCTCAGGACCCTGGTGGATTGCGTAAGTGAATCGGGTGGACCCTGGAACACAGTCATGTGCGGTGAGTGAGCAGCTATGCTGACCCGACCTACCTCTGGGCCGTTGCTCTGGGACCTCAGAGCTTGCCCCTGAGCCACAGAACACCAGGGCCTCTTCTCTTTCTCCAAACATGCTTCTTTCACTCCGGCTCCACCGACATTTCCTTGCAGGGTGTTGGCTACGTCAGCGTTGTTCCAGACCACTGATGGAGGAGGAGAATCAGCACTGCGTCTGGAATTCCCAGCGCCTGTGGAAGGTCCTGTCTGCCCTGCAGCCAGGCTCGTTTCCTTCTCCAAGGGTGGCCCACAGGCTCTTGGAAGCAGCTGCCCTGTGCATGGAGTCACCTGCACCTCTTTGTCCACAGCATGCATCCTGGCTTTTCCCTGAAGGTGCTGCCTTCCCCTCATCGAATGCCCCTGATCCATGCTCCTCTGCAAGGTGACATCCCTCTCCAGGACGTGGACTCTGTGTAAAAGGTGCTCGTTCTCCCCCCTGAAGGCCCAGATCATGTCTTCTATGCTCAGCACCACATCCTTGATCAGCTCTTTGTAACTGACGCCGAGCTCTGAGATCAGCACCCGCAGCTCCCAGTTCTCCAGGGCGACTTGCTCCACCGTGCCTTTGGATTTCCGAATGCTCTCCGACATGGCCTTCTGGAGCTGGCCCAGATTCCCTTTCAGTTTTTCATTTTCCTCTTCAAGCTCCAAAATTTTGCTGTAACTCTTTCTGTTGCAGTCTTCCAGGTCAGAGATGACTTGTAAATATCGGTCCAGTTCTTTCCTTAACTGAGAGATGTCCCCTCCCAGCGCCTGGTTCTCCTGCTCCAGCCTGGATATTTTTGTCACCTCTCTCTCTCTTTCAAGGGTGCACACTCTTTTATGGCACCTCTCTTGGTCTCCGTGAAGTTTGGCATTGTCATGTAAAATCTGGCTTCTCTCTTTCTTCAGTCTAGAAATGAGCTGATGAAACCTGCTCTTCACTCTCTTGAGGGCACCCGAGGGCTCAGCGGGCTCCCCTGGAGGGTCCGGGCTGGCTTCATCCCAATCAGGCAATGTCCCTGGGTCACCGGGAACTTCGCTGGTGCCCAGAGCCATGGTCTTTTCCAGCTTATCCCCTTCACCACTCTCTTTAGACTTTGCTTCTTCATCAGAACAAATACCCTGGTTTCCCCAAACCTGCTGAGAGCAAGCTCTCTCCCCACCAATGTGCCACTTCTCAGCGAAGTTCCAGTTCCCTCCCCCACACACAGAGGCTGAGTGCTGCCAGCCCCCACCGCCCGGCTGCAGTGTGGACAGCTGCTGGAAACAAGCCTCCACCTCCTGTGCCAGCTCATCGATTGTGAGTGCACACCTGTCCTCTCCTTTGCTCACAGCTTGCGGTTGACCATGACCAGTGGGTTCACCCCCGTCAGCTGATAAGGCAAATCTGGGAAACAGCGGCAAATCTGTCTCTCCCACAAAGAAAAGCATTTCCTTGCTCTCGTGTCCCTGGGAGTGAGGTTCCTCGGGGGCACCCCTGTACCCCGGACTGGACGCTTCTTGATGCGGGACCCCGTCCTCCTCCTCTAGCGCCCCTTCGTCCTCCAGGCTTTCTCCTTGCAGAACCTGAGCATTTCCAAGCCATACCTGGCTTTCCTCCTTGGCCCTAGCTGTCCTCCCGAGACCTCTGCCTCTCCCTGCCGGGGGCTGACTGTCTGTTGGCCTCGGCTCTTTGGTCTCGTAAGCGCTGGAGAAGGTGGCTGGGGTTGCCGCCTCTTCCTTCTCTGATGACAGTCCTCCTCCAAGACCCCAGACATATCCTTCCACTCTTCCTTTCCTGCTCAGGGATTCGGGTCCTTCCTTTGACACTGAGGCCTCCCCCTGTAGAAGAGGCATCAGAAACTCCTGCCAGGGCTCAGGCCAGCAGGTGGTGGCCTTGTTCTTGGAAGCCCCGTTCTGGTCCTGCATGCCCTCTGTGGCTCCAGCCTGGTTCTCCAAGCTCAGGTTCTGACGGCTTTCCTGACTTGGCTGGTGATTGTCACTGAAGTTTTTCCCCTTCCTGTCCAAAGTCCCCCTTGCCTCCCCCTCCTTGGTTCTTCTCCCCAGACTTTCTCCTCCGTTGTTCCAAGTGTCTTTCAGATCTTTAGGGTCTTTTTTGGGAAATCGGTGATTTGAAATTTGGGGGGCCTCATGGAAGAGGGAGGCACCATGGCCTCTTGCCTGGTGACAATCCCAGCCAGGGTGTCCTGTGGCTTTGGGAGGAGGTGGGGACACAGTGACCAACTCATCTTGGGTTTGTAGTCCCTCGAGGGGAACCTCCTGGAGTGGCCAAGAAGCTGAGTCCCCAGCCGGCCCCCAGAGAGGGCATGTAGACGTCTGCACCAGGAAGAAGGCCTCTGGGGCCGGGTCAGCTGCTAGATTCTCTGAAATCCGGGCCAGGTCCATGGGGAGGAGTGACTCGTCCAAGCACTCCCTTGGGGGGCAGCCACAGGCCAGGAGAAGAATCTGTCCATCCAAGCTGGGCTCTGCCAGAGTAAGCTACGAGTGGAGAGAGAAGATGAGGTGTGAAACAGCCCCTTCCACCATTCAGCACCCCAAGCTCCGCTTACCTCCTGGGGTTCTCTGTGCTTCCTCACCAGCTGCACAGGGCACAAGCTCTTTCCCACACAGGACACAGCTGGTACCACCCCAGGACCTTCGCATGTGCTCTTTGGTCTGACCAGAATGCCCCTTCCCACAGATAACCCCATGGCTCACTCCCCGGCTCCACTCACATCTCAAGGCAAATGTAACTTCCTCGAGAAGGCCCTGCCTGACAGTCCTTACTCACTCGTGGGCCATTCACCCCATGTCACCTCCCACAGCGCCCTCCATGCCGTCACCCCATATTATACATTTCTGTCCATATCGTCTAACTCCTGCTATAGCCTTGCCCCATCCAGTCCGCTAGTCGTGGGCCACATGGAGCTCCTAAAATGCAGCATAATCAAATCAAGGTTAGCATTCAGTTCTGGGGTGGCATCAGCCCCATGTGGCTCCTGGCTACCATCTTGGGCAGTGCAGATGCAGAATGTGACCAGCGCTTCCAAAGGCTCTAATGGATGGTGCTCGTGCAGGCTGTCCACACCCTGAGGGCAGGACTTCATCTTTGCTCAAATCCTGTGCCTAGAACAGTGCCGGGCACACAGGAGGTGTTTACTCGGTATTTTTGATGTATTTTTATCTTCATTTATTTGATGTGTTTATCCAGAGAGGAGGGGATGCCCAGCTCACAGCAGAGGCCCGAGCTGGGCAGGGGGAGGCCTGAGGATGAAATTTGCACTCAGCCAGGCTCACTGTGAGTCCCCAGAGGCTGCTCCCAGGCCTGGCAGGTTGCAGGCAGTTCTCAGTGGCGCCTCTAGAACAGCTTCGGAAGGCTCAGCAGGTCTAAGACACAGACGAGGAGGACAGAGGGAGTGTCTCAAAGGACAGAGGGGTTCTGAGCCTTCGTGAGTGGGCGTACCAGCAAAAGAGCCCCTTCAGGGAGAGGGGACTTGAAGGCCAGGGGAGCTGCCATTTCCTGGAGGGGCCACTGCATCCCTGCTCCCTGGAGCTGCCCGTGGGCAGCACCCATCCCCTGTCGTCTTTGCCTCTGTCTGCGATGCCCATCCATCCAGACACCAAGGCACTGTACCAGCTGCCCACAGAGAAAAGAGCACTTGCCCCGGAGAGGTACAGACCTGGCTTCAGTCCTGGGTGTGGCCTGAGCTAGCTCCTTAACCTTCTGGAGCCTCCGTCACCTCGCCTGTCAAATGGGCCACCTCAGTGTTATAAGACATTGTCCTGGGCTTCAAGGGAAGGGGGCAGTGAGGAGGGAGAAGTATAGGAATGCAGCATCCAACAACAAAAACAAGCGATGCATCAGGAGCAGGACGTGAATGAATGAAGAGGTAACAGAGGGCTCTCTCTGTTTAGAACCCCAGCGCCACAGCCGGGCTCGCAGGCTTCAGTTCTGGTCCCGGCAAGGCTCCGTTCCTCAGGGACAAGAAAATGGAAGTGGAGAAAGGCTACGACTCCCTCAGCCTCAGAGTGAGCCCCGGGAGGTGAGTTGGGACGCAGGCTTGTGACCCTCAGGGCTGCTGTGGGGCAGGGTGGGCCGTGGAGCCTGGAGCTCGGGGTCCACCTCCAGGCTGGGAGCCTTGGGGAGTCACAGTGGCCCTTGGAGTCTTGCCTCCTCTTCAGAGCAGAGGTGGCAGCACGGCCTCGTGGGCATCAGGAGGTGCCAACGAGATGAAGCCTGCCTCATGGTAGCCCAGGCCTGGCACCCAGTTAACCCCTTCCTCCCCACTCCCCATCCAGGTCTCAGGGTGTTTCATTTCCTCTCCTCAAATCGCCCTCTCAACTACTTCCAGAATGTTCTTCCACACCTGGAGCTTCCTTAGCCCTCCCACCTCCTGCGGATGGCCACATAGCCTGTGCAAGGCAGGGCTGAGGGGCCCCAGGGGCACGGCACACGTGCACAGAAAGCCTCCGGCCTCACCTGATCACGGTCGAATCCTGCCAGGTCTCCTGGGAGCTCGCTTGAGGTCTCCGGGCCTGGAGCCAAAACAGAAGAGGCCTGTCCAGGCCCAAAGCAGCTCCAGGCACTGGACCCTTCCGGGGGGGACTGGCCTGAAAACAACAAGACCCTGGAGGTTACAAAGACACGCCCGGGGGCTCTGCCATGATTGTCTCTAGGGACCATGCCCCCTGGGCTAGGGTGAGATGGCACCCCCACCCCCCGAACTTTGAGCCTCCTCATGCCTCCCAAGGGCAGTCTGATGACCACCAGCACCTTGATCAGGGGAGGAAGCTGAGGCTCAGAGATATGAAACAACCATCAGCAGGTGGGCGGAGGCCCCAGGGCTCCCAGCCATTGCTGCGGCCAGACTCCTGCACATCTTTCTAAGCCTCAGCATCCTCATCTGTCAAGCACAGTAATGAGCCTCACCCCAGCCCAGCACAGTTGGCATGAGGGCACACCTGACCTGGGTTGACGTGGCAGTTCCTCTCTGCCAGGTGTGAGTCTCACTGCCTCACCCTGGAGCTGTCGGGGAAGTGGGGGACAGGGTAGCTCCCAGTCATCACATAGAATTCTGTGAAGGCAAGTCCCTGCCGCCAACTTGCTTGCCTGTGGGGCCATCTGGCTGGCACCCTCCTAAGGGCCGAGGGTATGAGCCTATGTCCAGCTGAGCCCGAGCCAAAGGCCCCTGGTGGGCTGCACACTGATCCCACCTGCAGCAGCTGTATGACCCTGAGTGAGGACCCCTACCTCTCTGAGCATCAACTCTTGTCTGTAGAGAAGGGGGACCACCCCTCCCCCACGTCATCAGGACATGATGAGGAGGAAGCGAGCTGGCCCCTCGCTGGGTATTGCCCGGGACCCCATCCTCCACGCACTGCCGCACCCACACACCTGCTGAGGCCCTTTGTCCAGCATCATCAGACCGCAGGGAGCTCCGCTGGCCTTGGCTTCTGCAGAGGTCCAGGGCCTCCTCCCCAGGCAGGGGCAGTGAGTCACCCTGAACACAGCCCAGGGCATCCTGCAGGAAGACAGAGGAAGTCAGGAGGCACCAGTGTCCTGGCTGAAGTGTGCACTCCAAGCCCATCCCCAGAGGCCCCCCATACAGGGGGGTGGAGTCCCTTCCACAGGTGAGGAAACCAAGGCTCAGAGGGCAAAGAGCTCACAGCCTGGCAGCACAGCCCCGGCCTTGTGCTTTCGGCTCCCCAGGCCAAGCTGCCCCCTCTTAGCACTTGGATGCCTGTCCACAGATAACGAGGGCAGAGTTCGGTCCTCAGAGGAGTGTGTCCGCCCAGCCAAGAAGCACCCAGGTCCTCTAAGTAGGGGCATGGACCAGACTGGTATAGTCCGAGGCCTGTTAGGAGCGGAGCCGCACCGCAGGAGGTGAGCGGTGGGTGAGCGAGCGTTACCGCCCGAGCTCTGCCTCCTGCCAGATCAGCAGAGGCATTCGATTCTCACAGGAGCGCAAACCCTACTGTGAACTGCATGTGCAAGGGATCTAGGTTGTGTGTTCCTTATGAAAATCTAACGCCTGATTATCTGAGGTCGAACAGCGTCATCCTGAAACTATACCCCCACCCACACCCTGCCCATGGAAAAATTGTCTTTCATGAAACCAGTTTCTGGTGCGAAAAAGACTGAGGACTTCTGTCCCAAAGGGCACCCTAGGCTCCCAGCTCTGCCCTCCTGTGCCAGGTTCTTTCCATGACCTGCCCAGCAGAGAGGGTGTCTGCCCAGGGGGTTTGGACCGTCCTGTCTTTCAATGGTCAGTAAGCTCCAAATGCAACTACCAGGTACCTTGGCAGTGCCCTGTGCCCTGGATGTCTCTGCAGCGTGGAGTTTCCCCAGCTGCCACCCTGCTGCAGATCAGGATTATCGAGAGGTGGCTCCTTCACTGCTGCCATGCGGCAGAGGTGTGGGACTGGTAAAAAAAAATACCTCAGCTGTCACCCATCGCCCACGTGGGGCTGGACACAGGTCTCCATGTTCCCACGGCTCTGGCTACTTCCACTGTGGTGCTCCGGCCCAGTGCTGTGGGCTGCCTACTCCACTGCACTGTGGGCTCCTCTAGGAAGGGAACTTGGCTTAATTTTGTCTGCACCCTCACCCTAGCCTGTATATAGTAGGTGCTTAATAAATGTTTCATCCTTGAGTGGATAGATAAAACCTGAAGAAAAGCAGATGTTTTAGATTTACCAGTGCATTCATTCAGGAAACATTTATTAGGCTCCTGCTGTGTGCCAGGTGCGGCTCTAGACCAGGAGGAAACAGAAGTGAACAGGTAGGTGCCCTGTCCCCGTCTCACCTGCTCCCCAGGTCCTCACCTGCACTCAGCAGACCCAGCATCTGACTTCTGGCTGGTTCTCTGCCCCCTTTGCATTCTTCTTGCACTACCAGGGAGACCTGCTGATCTTCCAGGCTTCCCTTGGCTCTCCTCTGGCTCTGGGTCAGCATGAATGCTGAAATTAGGTGCTGGTGGCTGTCCATAGGCTGTCACTGCTGCCCTTGTTCCCACCCCTGCACCTTTGCGCCAGCTTTCCCCACAGAGGCCTGCCTGACTGCCCCAGTGCGTCTGTCCGTGCTCTCCCCGGCCTCTGCATGCCCCCATTTGCTGTTCCTGGGGCCTGGCTGGTGCGTCCTCCTGGGGAGGGACCTTGATCACCTGCCTGCTGCAGGTAAAGCCTTCCCTGCTCCTTGCTCCCAGCCCCTCCCTTCCATGCACTGCTCAGTTTCCGGAGATGGCAGTAAAACGGGAACTGGATCCAGTTGCCCCCTGCTTCCCACTCTCCCTGTTACACTGAAAGATGAACTCCTGCCAGCCTCACTGTCCCCACTTCCACCCTGCTACCCGCCACCCACGTCTGTGCTCCTGGATGGGACTCTTTCTCCCCACACCTCAGAGCCTTTGCACACACAGTGTCTGGCCCTCTCTTCCCACCCTCTTTGCCTGATCAACCTCCTCCCCTTCTGGGATCTGCTTAAAGGCCAGGTCCTTCACGAGGCCTTCTTTGGCCTTCATCTCCTCCGACTCTGGGTTGGTGGCCTCCTGTTGATCTGCGTGATGGTTTGGGTCCTGTCTATTTATTCTCATAGGCAGGGGCCTCAGCACTGGCCACATCAGGGAGTCACCCAGAAACTGTAAATAAGAACCAGTGCAGGAGCCTCGACTTGAACCCATGATCCCCAGAGGGCCTGGGCAGCAGCATCATGTCCTGACAGCCCCGTGCCTGCACCCGGGGGGCCTGGGCAGCAGCATCCTGTCCTGACAGCCCCGTGCCTGCACCCGGGGGGCCTGGGCAGCAG